CCCGCCCGCGCCTCGCCCGCGCCCCGCCCGCGCCCCGCCCCCGCCTCATCTTACCCTGCGCTGCCCGGGCTCGCCGGTTAAAGCGCCGCGCTCTCCCGACCCTTCGTCTCGTCCCTTTCTCTTCTCAGCATCTCGCCAGCTCACTGGGCGGCAGCCAGCGGTGGGAGGAAGCGGCCTCAAGGATGAAGTGCAAGCCAAACCAGACGCGCACCTACGACCCGGAGGGGTTCAAGAAGCGGGCGGCGTGCCTGTGCTTCCGGAGCGAGCTCGAGGACGAGGTGCTGTTAGTGAGTAGCAGTCGGTACCCCGACCGCTGGATCGTGCCGGGTGGGGGCATGGAGCCCGAGGAGGAGCCGTGCGGTGCGGCGGTCCGAGAGGTGTACGAAGAGGCGGGAGTCAAGGGGAAGTTAGGCCGGCTCCTGGGCGTATTCGAACAGAACCAAGATCGCAAGCACAGAACGTACGTGTTCGTACTGACCGTCACTGAGCTGCTGGAGGATTGGGAAGATTCGGTTAACATTGGGAGGAAACGAGAGTGGTTCAAAATCGAAGATGCCATCAAGGTTCTCCAGTGCCACAAGCCCGTGCATGCCGAATATCTGGAAAAACTAAAGCTGGGCGGTTCCCCAACCAATGGAAACTCCGTGGCCCCGTCCGTGCCTGATAGCGATCCCTAGTAGGTACCGCTCCCGCACAGACTTCTGATTGTCCGCCTGCCTTAGAACGAGCTCTGCCTAGAGCACCTCTCTTGCCATGTGCGGTCTCACGGGGAGGAGGGAGGCCTCTTTTGTTTCCTTGGCAGACCTCTGAATCACGCTTGCAAACTGTCTCAGTTGCCAGGCACTGTTTTCAGACAATTTGCACGTTTTTCAGATGCTTTCAGAATCGCTTTTCGTTACACTGTACAATGTTTCCATAATCCAGAGTCGTTTGGGATTTTGTGCAAGGTGCCTTAACTGCTCACCCTGCTTTTGGGGGGCGGGGGTAGGTAAGCCCTGTGATGTTTTTTTTTTTGTTTAACGTGTCACACATTTTGTGCCTGAGTGTGTGTGAGCATTTTTGGAACCAGTCTCGTGGTTGGTTTTGTAGTGGAGGCCTTTAAAGTCTGACCAGCTTGGTTGTGTGGGCATCTCTTAGTATTTTCCTCCCTGAAGTTTTTTCTCACAGCGTTGGCCCCTGTCAGGGAGCCCTTCTGTGGTGGGAGTTGATTTAAAAGCTCAGTTTTGAATTTAAAACAACTTAGGGAATTGTTGGCATCTTGTGCTGTTTCTGCACTCGGCAGTAATTTTAGCTTCAGAAGTGTGATCTGATATGCCATTTTCAGAAATTTCTTTGTCTCTTTCTTTGTAGATCGTTTGGTTCTCAACAAATTTTCACAACTGGTATGTTTTCATTGCTGACTTGAAATGGTCGTTTCCCCATACAGTTTAACAGGGTATTTTTAACCTTACAGAAGAGATATTTCTAGGGCATTGCTAACCAAACACATCTTGATATACATGTCTTATCAGGGACACTGTGTTTATGGAATGTGATTTAGCATGCTGGACTTCCAACTCCCATTGCCCTTTACTGGACGCTCTAGAAGAATTATGGTTCTCTGAGTTTCAAATTCCTTTTTGACAGAAAGTTATCTCCCATATTTGAATTTAGTGACATTCCAGTTAAACTTCCCTGACTCCTCGTGACCAGACTATTCTGTGGTGATAGCATCCCCATTGAGTGAATGAGCTCCCTTGATACTCAGCTGGTACAGATGTCTCAAACTGTTAGGACACCTGAACAGTCTCTGTTCAAGATGGCGGGTAATTGTTTTGTCTCACAGGGGACAAAATAAATTTGGGGGGTGCCAAATTAAAAGCTCTTAGGGTTGCCTGGATGTTTGATTGAAATCAGGAATCCCATCTAATAATATACTTAAGTCTCTCTTGTGGAACTTCCTCTGTTCCTCCAGTTATGTCTGTAACTAGGTAGAAGGAAAGCCTGCTTTGTGAAGTGTATATTAGGAGTAGAAGATTCATTTCTAATTTGTAGGGTATCCTACGATATACCATATCTCTTAAACATTATCAGTAGATATTTTGGATGGATCACTTATTTTTTCTGGTGACAATTAAGGAAAAACCTACTCTGTGAAGAGAGTATGGGTAGGTTATATCTTTCTACATATAACACTTCTTGAAAGTATTTTAGAGACTAGTAAATACAACTGGCTAATAACTAATTTTAAGAATTTCTCATTTCACAAATTAGCTTTAAAAAAACAGTCACTTGTAGAACTGAATAGCATTACTCTTTAATCTTTGATATCACTTTTTAAATTAAAATCTTTGCCAAATATGAATGTCTAAATAAAATAAAGTACATGTCATTAAGAAAAATTAATGTTGTCAAAGGAATGAGGAGAAAATGAATAGTCTTTAAAAACCAAGTATATAATTTCATATCCTAAATTATGCAGTGTTATTAATATTATTACCAAAACTTATTTTTCTTTGTATAGAAAAACATGTCTTCTTATTTTTAAATAAACTATTATAATCCCACAAGTTGACCTTTCTTATTCCAATAATCCAAATTGACCAAAGTGTTCTCAGCAATTTTAGATTATTCAAAGTATATATTAACAGTAGAGAAGTAGAATATTCCTTTATTACTTTCTTTCATACATAAAACTACTTTCATATAAAATGCCACAAATACCTGGGAGGTTTAACTTATACATAGCATTCTTAGAAATAATGCACGATCTCATGTTTTTACTTTTGACAGTTGTGAAAAGTACAGTGTTGATGGTAACCAACTCTTAAAGATTTGTTAGCCTATACATATTTGCTATGTTTTGAATACTACTACTTCCTAAGATTTTCTTCAGTGTCCAGATAGCTTCAGGTTATGCAATTTGTAGAACTCCCAAGGTATTTATTTGTAAATTACAACATTTTACACAGTCTGTACATTATAAAGTAAACTTTCTATTCATATAGGTAGTTCTTGTTAAATATACTTCCGGAGTTCAGTCTAGAAAAAAGTAAATGTAGGGGCCCTATCTTTTCATTTTAAAAGAGTAATCCAAAATTTTCAGAGTAAAACAATTGACACAAAGGTAAATTGAGGTCTATAACCTGCATACTCCAAATGTTTGATGCATAATTGGGATTTTTTCTTTACAGAGTCATTGCATACTATCTATGCATTATTAATGTGATAATTACAGTAAAAGTTTATAGCTGATTTTTCAGCTTATAAGCCCCAAATAAACAGTGTGATGATCAAATTAATTATGACTTTCAAACATGAAGTAGAAATTTGTTTTCAGCATACTTTTTTAAAAGGTTGACCTTTTTCCCCACCGGACAAGTGCCTTAAAAAAACATTCGATGAAGGCATGTTAGGGTAAAGGTAATTTTGGTATGCGTGATATAGAATTTTTCTGGATGTCGAACATGTTATATTTTCTACAAAATTGTGTTCTATTGATCAGATTACTGTTGGAAAAAGTAACCCTGAAAAGGTGAAGGGTGGCTAGAAATATTTATTTTGTGTGGTTTTGTTTGAGAGAACTGTAAAGATTTGAACATTTTTGTATTTAGAAACATCAATAAAAAATGAGAGAAAGAGAAAGTTACTATAAGAACAGGAACTGGCAACTTGTAAAGTAACTTCAGTATTACAAGGCCCTTCTGGGACAGATGTTTTAAAGGGCTCTGAAACTGAAGCTGTTTTTCTCTCATTTGCCTTTGAATGGAATTGAGTTGCAAAAATGAGGAGGAGTTCCTACCTCAATAGTTAATTAGGAAAAAGGAGGTAAAAATGGTACTTTAGAGCCTATAGTACTAATATCTGGCTAGAGTTTCCTTTGTGGAAGCACCAGGCAAAACAAAACAAATATTTTCTGCATCATTCCATGCAGAAAGTAAGTATCTTTCTGAATGACTCTTGGCCTATTAGAATATGAATTTTTTTTCTTTCTTTTTTTTTTTTTAAAAATATGGAATGCTTCACAAATTTGCATGTCATCCTTGTGCAGGGGCCATGCTAATCTTCTTTGTATCGTTCCAATTTTAGTACATGTGCTGCCGAAGCAAGCACTAGTATATGAATTTTTTGAGTACTGGGACCCAGGCTGAATTCTCCCCGTATCCTTAGAGCCTAGCACAGTGGCTGTAATTTGGAGATATTTGTCATTGATCTACAGATTAGAAATGTCTGTTACCAGTGTATTCCTGATTTCGCAGCTTCATAATGTACCTGGAACAGTGTATTATTCCCTCAGGCTTTCATCTTATCCAATTACAGTGGAACTGCATTGGATAATTCACTGAAGGTTTTTCCGATACAAAATTGTTGTATATACCAGTGGTTCTCAACCTTCCTAATGCCATGGCCCTTTAATACAGTTCCTGTGGGTCGCGACCGACAGGTTGAGAACTGCTGGTAATACCTACATAGTAGGTCCTCAAATATTTGTTAACTAGAGGAATTGATGAACCAATAAAACTCTATTAATAAGATCTCTTTTTTTTTTTAGGTGAATGGCATAGATGTTGCTCAGATTTACTTAGAAAGAATCAAGTATGTGAACCCAGTGATAACTGGAATTTTGAAGCACAGGGGACACGGCTCATCCTATGCTTTTGGACGCTTCTTTCTTATATTACAATGACTATTCTTCAGGTTGTTGCACTACCACTGTATCTGTATAGAATTTGGCACCTGTGGCCTTTTTTGTGCTTTTATGATTATGTATCTGTATTTCTCACCAGGTTATATGACCTTGAATGCAGGGAACTTGTTTCCTTAGTCTTTTTATATCTAACATAAATGACATTGCTTAAAATATGGTAGACATCATCTGAGGATTTGTTTAAAAAATAATATTTTGTAATGATACTCAGTGTAAAACATTCCCCTTCTAATCTGTGTAGCATATATGTGCTTCTTATATATTAGGTGTAACGCAAACTGTTTTAAGGCAGGTGTGAGACATTAGAAAGCAAAAATTCTTACTCATGTGTCTGTGTCATCCTAGACATTATATGCCTCCAGATGGCAATGTATTACATCACCTATAAAATATATTTGCAAAGCTGAACACAGTAGTACATGTCTGTAGCCCCAGCTACTGAGGAGGCTGAGGTGGAAGAATCACTTCAGCCCAGGAGTTAAGTACACCCTGGGTAACGTAGTGAGACCCCATCTCTGTGTGTGTATTTGCCAGAAATTTGAACCTAAATTTGACCATGTCTCTACAAATAGAAACAATTTCTAATCTATAGAAAATAGAGGAGACAGAAACCTAATTCTTCTACACCATAGAAATGAGATCAGTAGAATCCAGAATGCAGGAAACTCTACAAATGATCCAATTGCTTCAGTAAATACAAGGATGAAAACAAGAGATAGAGGATTGAAGGAGACTTCAGATACATATTAACCAATTGTATAGATCTTATTTGGATCCTGATTTGATTAAACTGTAAAAAGAATACATTTATGAGACAATCAGAATAATTTGAACATTGACTGGATGACTTCATATTTGATATTAATTGGGATAATGGTATTGTGGTTATGTTGGATGAGTCCTCATATCCATTCTCAGATATTTACAGTTGAAACAATGTCTGGAATTTGATGGTTATTGGAGATACTACTGGAACAAGATTAGCCTTGATAATTGTTGAAGCTGGATAATGGTTAAAATAATGGTTCATTATACATATTCATCTCTACTTTTGTATGTTTGGCATTTTCCATAATAAAAAGTTTATGAAAATAATTATAGGAGTTCTTATTAACGTTGATACTGAAGATAGAGAGAAAAAGGAGGAGTAAAAATTTTAGATTGTTTACAAATATTGGCTCTGGGGTAGCACTTCTGGCCCAAGATATCAAGTGCCCGAAAAGAGAGAAGGGAAACATACCGTAGTGTGGCTAGTGGTCAGTTCCCTTGTCACAGACCAATGTTAGAAGTTTTTTTTCTTTTAATTTGACCCATTGGAATAAGAAAAGTTAAAGCCTTATTTATTCCTACTGGAAAATTAAAATGGATTCTCATATGCTGTTGAGTAGGGTTTTTGACAACACCTGTAATCCAGGTCACATCAGTGTGAAAAAGCAAATGGGTGGAGTTTCATTTAATATGCTAAATTATGCAGCATTATCAATATTATTACCAAAACTTATCTTTATTTGTATAGAAAAACATCTAAGGAGCATGTTTATAAAATTTTATAAAAATCCACATAACGCCTGTTTTGAATAGGTTTTGAGGGGGATAATAAATATAGGCTTGTTAATTGATGAACCTTAAGTAAGTTTAAAGTTACATTTGAAGGCAAGTGAACAGGAAAGTAACCAATAAGCATTCCTGACAGCAGTGAACCATTTTGCATTTCACAGACTACAGATACTCCTTCAGTTCTATACTATGCTTAGAATTCTGTAAAGGCTAAAACCTAGGCCAGAGTTACTTACATCAAAGACATGGGATGTTCCCTGGCTTTTTCGAGGGGTCAAGAAGTAGCAGGCAAAAAGTGGAAACGGCATTGGAGGCCCCTCCTACGAAAGATATATTCCTTCCTAAGTATGAAAAACTGTGAAACTGAAGCTGCACTCTCTACTCCTATGTGTGTTTGAATCTCAAGAGTAAGCATTTCCCCAGAACCAACTATTACCTGGAAAAAGGGAAGTGAAAGGTTTGCCTTAGAGTCCTTTGTCATTTGTACCTGGGCAGAGCTTTCAATTCCAAAGTTCTCCTATGAGAAGGCACCATTACAGACCAGAAAAATGTTCATTATTTTCTTGGAAGTTGTTTTCCTAATTTGAATCTACTCTGATTGTAGCAGATTTTTTATTTTTAATTTGGAGGCAAGCAGAACTGGTGGAACTATAAGTGGGAGCAGTAAAGTAGTTTGGGATCCAACAGGCCATTGGCTCTACACTGGCTCCACCAGAGGCCTTTTAGGCCTCTGCCAAATTATTTCTCTAATATTGAGTTTTCTCATCTTTGAAACGGGAATTATCATTCTCTATCCCCTGGGGTAAAGTTTAGTCTTGTGTTTAGAGGTACTGCATTGCTTTGTTATGTTATGGCTCCTGTTAATATTATACACATACATACTAGCCTGAATGTCTCTGTCTTATAAACTCTTGAGGTCCCTGAGCTCTGGGAGCTAGGCTGGGTTGTCTGATTGTTTCCAGAGTCTAACACAGAACCTGGAACATGGTACCCCATAGATGTTCATAACATGTTCATTATATAAATGGTTGTCATACCTCCTACTTGCAAAACATTTACTGTTAATTTACCAGGTATTTGTTTACTGGAAAATATTAAAACTGAGATATCAGAAGACTGGACTGTGCTCATGTGCTCAAGTTTCTCTTTATTGGGAAGGATATTTTACCTATAAATCATGTTTTTATTGTTTAGCATCTTTCAGTACCAATAACTTCTTAGCTTCATAAAATACTATGTGCTACTGGCCCCACAACTGTATTTGATAATTCACTGAGGGATTCTCAAATGCATATGATTGAAGGACATGGTAAGTGCTCAGTATTAATTTCATGTAAGGATCTTTGGATGAATACCAGGTAACTGTCCTAATTATATTTTGGTTTACAAGTGAAAGACATAGATTAGCAGTTAGTATTATATGATAATAAGCTCAAGACTAGGACAGGGCTTGGCTGATTTGAATGGTAAAGATACAAGGAGCCCATTTAGATTTAGACAGTTTAGTACTGACATAAACGTTGCAAAGAAGAATGAACCCCAGGGGCCAATTCTCGGGGTCTTTGTCCCATATACCCTAAAAGACAACAAAGAAACAAAAAGGGCTGGATGACTATAACAAGTTAAGGGATGCTCTGTAGCTGAGGATCCCAATCTACACTACAGCTGAATGATTTTATGTTCTTCAGCTCTGTTCTGGAGAGCACAGGACAGAAAGCCCCATACTTCATCAGAAACTGGTGGGTAATAAGAAGTTTGTTCATGACAACCTCCCAGGAGAGATAGGTGAGTGACTAAAAGATGGCTGCATAGCACCTCCAAACAGCCTCTCATCATGGTCTGTGAGGATCACAAGATATTTAACCAAAACTCAGATTACCTGCAGTTCAAGCTATATAGATACATGTAAGGGTGCCAGGCCACCATGGAGGATACATTTCCTTATAACTCCACTCTCCTTTCACATATCCTGCTAAGAATTCTTTTTACAATACATAGGCCACCTATTATGCCCACTGCAAAGATACAGAATGGACTTCCATGCAAAATTTGGTTTAGGCTTGGTGCCCATAGCACAGTGGTTACAGTGCCGGCCACATACACCCGGGCTGGTGGGTTCAAACCCAGCCTGGGCCAGGTAAACAACAATGACAACAGCAACAAAAAAATAGCTGGGTGTTGTAGCAGGCGCCTGTAGTCCCAGCTTCTTGGGAAGCTGAGGCAAGAGAATGTTTAAGTCCAAGAGTTTGAGGTTGCTGTGAGCTGTGATGCCACAGCACTTTCTGAGGGTGACATAGTGAGACTCTGTCTCACACACACACAAAAAAATTGGTTTAGATATCAAGACTGGTGGTGATGCCACATATGCAGCCACAGGGTATTTAAAGTTTCATTACTTACATAAAGAGACTTTTTTGAGAGCAGAGCAGGCTTCCAAAGCTGATGCAGAAATGTCTTGCTAGAACAAGGAAAGGAGACCGGCTCCTTTCCTTTTTTATTGTGGTTAGAGGTTGGGGCTGGGGTGAGAGTTTGAATGTACAGCTAGGGGTTTAAAACTCCCTTCAGCATCAAAGGTGAGAGGACTCAGAGTTTTTACTAGCTTACTCAGATGTAGGACTGAAGGAGATGAGGCAGAAAGGTGAGGCTTTAAACTTATCAGCAATCAAACATAGAAAACAGTCTTTTTGTTATAATTTACTCCTGATATTTGACAAAATGTACCATGTTTCTTTAATTGAATTTGAACAGGTTTAAATAGGGCATTCTAGTACTTTTTTTGGTCTGTAGCATGAGACCTAGAAGGAAGGTAAAAGTTTCATCAAGTGTCTTATTCCAGAACCCAGCATTTTATATTCTGGAAAGTGAAATGAATGCCTTCATCACAATGAACCAAGTTTGGAACTCTGGAGGTAAGAAGGAATGTCTTAATGAAGCCTTGTATTATAGCTTTAGCGTATGTAAGATATTGATTTATATTTTTGTATCTTTGAGGCAAGAATTTTCAGAGTTCCATGCCCTAAAAGAGACAACCTTGAATAAGGAATTTATGTTGTAGCCATTGGCCAAACCAGACAACTAGATCATTGGCAATGGCCTAAGGATCTAAAAATGTGCAGACAAGGCCAGTTGTTCACCAGGGCATCTACTGCTAAGATGACAGTGTAAACTTTGGCCAGTTGTGCTGACCTTGGGTCCAGTCTTTTATCAAAGACATCCTAGTAAAGGATAAAAAGCAGTAGCAATCCACTGAGCTCTAGCATATGAGACCAGACAATTAAGTTCATGAATTCATCCTAGAAAAAGTGCTACATACATCATTGCTGAATATCCCTATGGTCACCAGATGGCCAAGGGAAGTACTTCAAAGGTGACCATAGTGATATTCAACAATGAGGTATGTATTACTTTTTCTAGGATGAGTTTGATAACTTAATTGTTATACCTTGTATGTGATGATGACAAAATACCCATAAAGTGGACAAACTCACGTTGTTCTTCATTCAGTTGATTCTACATTGTACCAAGGTAGCCAAGAGGTCTAGGAAAGGGGTAATCTCATTTAACACCATGGCATCTAGTAAAGGACTGAGGACAGGGTAAGCATGCCCACCTGCACTGAGATATGCCAAAAGGCCCGAGTTTGGCTCCATCCTGTAACAAAGGTTTTAGTGGCTGTGACAAATTTGTAAGGTGCTGCTTCCAAGATTCAAAGTATAATTAGCTGGAAATGAAGGGTCA